TTTGCATCATAAACAAAGCCCTGATCTGACATGTACTTTCAACTGAAAAATTAAATCAATCATTTCAGATTTTTTTTCACATGTTAAAGAAGTTAAAGCACCCCTTTTAATGTAAATCTCCGTCTATGGCATCTCTTCTGTCACCATCCTAAACTGTTTGGTCTTTCCAAACATCCAAGTTCTAACAAGCAATTGTATTGAGAAAAGTTTCATCTATTGCCAAATATCCAGAAATATGAAGAGATAATTGTTTACTTGTCAGAGCAAAGAAATATGAGTATACATCCAATGAAATATAAAGCACTTACAGTATTAGCAAGAGCAATAAGAAAGAACACTTAAGTCAATGATCAGTTTATAATTGAAGTAATCAGTTCAACACTGGTAGGTTGAAAGGAGAAGAAATTAAAACTATTTAGCCTATGAACATGGGAGATTCTCTGAAAATTCCCAGTCCGCAAAGAAGAGTTACCACAGTACTAGTAAATGACACAAAAGCAAAGGATCACATTATTATGGCCAGCATTTCCACACAAGTAAATTTTATTTACTGTAAGTTTTGAGACAAAATGTCATTCCTGCACAGGAACCTACACGTTATACCTACCCTTATTAAAATACATTTCCTTTATAACATATTTCTATGTTCTTAAATTTATGTCTGTTGTTAAGTAAATCCAACAGAAGGTCATACTACAGACAGACTTCAGCAATATTACACTAATTAAAATGGCTATTCAAACATATAAGTCATTTTTGGAGAGGAAGAATAATTGAATTCATATTTATTTGAATAATTGTATATATACCTTGTGCTCTGTTTTTTAAAAATTATGAAATGCATACTATCACAATGTCTTTCATGTATAACCATACATATACACAAACCATATATTTCTACTGAATTATAAAATCTGAAGCATTTTAAAACTAGAAGACATTAAATCCATTTTCTCTGATGGATAGAATTACTGTGAATACAACTGCAGCTTTAGACTGATTGATAATGATTGCTGCACTGTCTACGAAAATATTGCAAGTTGCTCTGCTTTAGGAAAAATAATTTAACCAATATTAAGTACCTCTTCTGTGCCAACAAAGCTGATGACAGCGGTTAACAGAAGAATCTTCATTTTTCTATGTCTCGGTTTCCAGCTTCTTGAGAAATGATCTGTATTTCAGTTGTTACAGAGGATATCAACTAAAACACTTTCCATCTGTTTCCCTTCGTGGGTCAAATGCAATATAAAGTGTGGTTCATTTTGGAAGCTTGTTTATTTGTCAGAGTGTCCTGCGTGGCAGCCAGTCCAGGACTTAGATTGACACTGTTACATTTTGTCAATGACATTTTCATTCAGGAAAGTCTGGCGTGATGTGACTTATTGTCAAATACAAGAAGAAACACGTTATAAAACATTGAAAGACAATGATGATACTGTAATCTTGGATCCTGTGCTATAAGAAGGGGATGCAATTTCAAACTTCACTTTTTAAATTGCCAATTTATGTTATTATTTGCATCATTAGAAATTCATAGGTTCTGAGCAATAACCTCTGATATTCACTCTGATATTGGACTTAAAGGTGAACTGAATGTTCCAAAGGGGGAAAATTGTACCATGATTTCTTAGATTGTCTAAAGAGGCAAATTTTAATGAGTAGAGCTTGTTACTTTGTAAACAATGAAGATGACAATTTTCATATGCACATTTTATGGCTATCAGAGATGTGTATCAGAGAACTTACGTGCCTTGATGAAGCACACATCACTGATTCCCTCATCTTCTCTGTGATCTTTCTGTGGTCAAAAAATCATCCTATAGTTTAACATTAAGGAATATGAATTTTACATTTATACAATGGAAATATACTAAATATATTAATATATTCAACTACGATGGCTTATTTACATTTTTCATCATGGTGGGGAGCATGCCAGCCTACAGACTGTCATGATGCTTGAAAGGAGGCCGAGAATCCTGTGTCTTGGAGGCAAAAGGAAGTCTAACTACTCAGCCATCTCTCCATATCTGGTTCTAATTTAATGGACGTTTTCAGGCACCGAGATAGGCCATGTGGTTTTGTGCTTAGAATATTTCCTTACTTCATAATCTGAGGGTCAAGTGCAGCTTAGAATTAGCTGGGGAATCGACCTTGCAGGTTTGAAAGAATCCTATGAACTACACATGGTCAAATCGTGTCCACATTCTCTGACATCAGTATCCTTATATTTATGAAAGATCATATCAGGAACACGCATGCTAAAGGAAATTTGCACATATTTTCTTTATGTGAATGCTGTAAAGAAACTGTTAAAGATTTAAAATGATTCTTTCAATTTTAGAAGCCTGTTGTTAAGTATTCACGTTAGGGATCCTCATGGAAACTATGCAACAGTGCATGAAGCAAAACAGTGACAGTGTTTAATATAACGCATGCATTCATTCATAAAATGAAATTAATAAATCTTTATGAAAATGATGGGGTATGCACATGGTCAAATTAAAGACATGCTATCTACCGCATTGTTATTCAATGTCATAATATTTAACTTCAAAATAATTTAAAAAATTTAATTCCAGTTCAATAAACTCTAAATCCATTAATTTTTCCTATCAGTTCAGGGCATTGTCATGTTTATGAAGGACGGCCCTGACTGTGATTGAGTGACACAACCCAAGAACTGACCTGATTGTGACGAGGGTTCAAGGACCTCACTCATGTCACAGCGCACCATTGTCCAGGTGGGTCGTCCTGGACTGCAAGAGAATGCAAGATACTCGGATCACGTGGCTCTGGGCTCCACAACCCAACATGTTGACATTAATACTCCATTAATAATGTTATATTAACAAATATATTAATAATACATTAAAAGACAGAAAAAAGAATGTGAGCGAAGGATGAGGCTGAGTGACCAGAGACCTGGACAGCCAGGAGCCTCCTCTATAGAACTCAGATTCCCCAGGGAGGAAACAGAGAGTAAGGAGACCTCACTTCCATTTCCAGCCTTAACTTTCCCCAATAATGGACTCTGACCTGGACGTTTAAGTCTAATACACCCTATTAATATGGATATTAAATAAACATCATCCTGCTGAGTTGATTTTTATTCGAATATTTTATACCAGCAAAAGAAGGAATCTAGAAGAAATGTAAAGCCAGCACAATGTCATGAGAACTACATTTCCCACAATGACTTTCTCTGTGTGGTCAGAACTAC